GACTACTACACTGTACTAGGAGGCACAGGACTATACTGCCACAATGGAACACAATGACTTCAGACTACTACACTGTACTAGGAGGCCCAGGACTATACTGCTGCAGTGTAACACAGTGACTTCATACTACTACACTGTACTAGGAGGGACAGGACTATACTGCCACAATGGAACACAATGACTCCAGACTACTACACTGTACTAGGAGGGACAGGACTATACTGCCACAATGGAACACAATGACTTCAGACTACTACACTGCACTGGAGGGCACAGGTACTATATGCCTCAATGGAACACAATGACTCCAGTATAATTTTCAATATGGTTGTATAAGAGCACGCATTGCATATATTAAATGTTTCTACACAGATCACATTGTTTTTCTGGATTTTAACAGCCTTTCAGCAAGTTTTTTTATCTTTTACAATGTTATACCTGATATTTTGGTGGATTTTTTTTTTGCTGCTACTGATGTAAGAATTTTTATGTAAATCCCTTGGGCATTTTATTGCTTTGTCAAAGAAACTGAAAAAAAAACAGTTTTAAGATACTAAAAATTAAGTAGATTGTTTTAAAGATGTATATTTTATCATCTTCCAGCCAGAAGGATGGCCAAGTCCATCAAAGTGAACAGGAAAGAGTCAACAGGTAAATCAAATATGTGGATCTATCATAAATGAAAACTTATGGACTACAAAAAAAGTACAATTATGAAATCATATTTAAATCTACATATATTCAAATTATTAATTTTGTTATACAGATTGCCTGTCTGACACAGAGGTGGAAAATGACTCTCAAGATTGCATAATTCAAGGAAATTAAAAATATATGAACATTTTCAAAGAAGGCAGCAAAGCAGTCAGATGTACAGACAAAAAGCAAAACATAATGATATGCAAAATAGGTTAATTTATCAATTGTGGTACAATAATCAATATTGGGTGCCATCTACTCTCAGCAGGTTGGCTGTCATGGATCACCATGCCTCTCGATCTTGTGTCATTGGTATGCTTTATCTATATTTTTGATTGGTTCAATCTTTAATGTTGTCCATCCATGCTGTTTTAGGTCTTCCTTTTCCTCGTTTTCCATTTAACCCAGAAACTCATTGTAAGGAGTAATCTGCATCTGGCATTTGTAGTAAGGAGAAATCTTGTATGGGTATATATTGTTTTCCAGATGACAGTTATAGGTAATATGCAACCTCCTACACAAACGTAATATAAAATATTGAAATAATTGTATTTGTTAATTCTTCTGATTATTTCCAATAAACATGACACTTAAAAAAAAGACACATACAACTGATCAGCTTATCACATATTTTTATCATTGCTAAGCATCATTTGTACCAATTTCAAAAACATTGGACAAGATTTATCAAATTTGTTAACTACAAATATCAGAAATATTGTACTAGATTTGACAAAATTATTAACATTTTACTATTTTATGTCACTGAATTTGCCAATCTTTTCAATGTAATTTTCAGTTCTTTCAGTTATATTGTTCTTGTTTCAGAGTACCCTTACTATGAACAAGCAGGCAGTGAAAGACAGAACCAAGAGCAGCACTATGTCTTATCCATGTGTACAATACATGATATTTGGCAAGATTTAGGGCATTGTCAAATATTGTGGTAACAGCAACCCCTTCCAGAAACCCATTGTAAGGAGTAATCTGCATCTGGCATTGGTAGTAAGAAGTCATTATTCATTAAACATAGTCAACTGATCAGCTTATCACAGATTTTTATTGATGTTAAGCATCATTTGTTAAAATTTCAGAAATATTGGACAAGATTTGACAAAATTATTAATGTTTAACTATTTTAAGTTATTGAATTTGCCAGTCTTTTCAATGTAATTTTCAGTTTTCCCCAATATATTGTCCCCAAAAGCAATTTTCATTAAACATAGTCAACTGATCAGCTTATCACAGATTTTTATTATTGTTAAGCATCATTGTTACAAATATCAGAAATATTCTACTAGATTTGACAAAATTATTAATGTTTTAGTATTTTAAGGGCTGCGATTTGCCAGTTTTTTCAATTCAGTTTTCAGTTTTCCCAAATATATTGTCCTAAAAACACTTTTTATTAGATACAGTCAACTGATCAGCTTATCACATATTTTTATTGTTGTTAAGCATCATTTGTACAAATATTAGAAATATTGGACAAGATTTGACAAAATTATTAACGTTTAACTATTTTTAGGGCTGTGATTTGCCAGTCTTTTCAATGTAATTTTCAGTTTTCCAAAATATATTGTCTTAAAAAACATTTTTCATTAGAAACAGACTACTGATCAGCTTATCACAGATTTTTATTGTTGTTAAGCATCATTTGTATAAATATCAGAAATATTGGTCTAGATTTGACAAAATTATTAACATTTTACTATTTTAAGTCACTGAATTTGTCATTCTTTTCAGTGTAATTTTCAGTTCTTTCAGTTATATTGTTCTTGTTCCAGAGTACCCTTACAATGAAGAAGCAGGCGGTGAAAGACAGCACCAAGAGCAGTACTATGTGTTATCCATGTGTACAATACGTGATATTTCTCAAGATTTAAGACATTGTCAACTATTGTGATAACAACAACCCCTTCCAGAAACCCATTGTAAGGAGCAATCTGCATCTGGCATTGGTAGTAAGGATAAGTCTTGTATGGGTATATATTGTTTTCCAAATGACAGTTATAGGTAATTTGCAACCTCTTACACAAACAACCTCAAATCATCACATTTGCTGTTTTCTTTCAGAGTAAGTAATACATTGCGATATTGAAATATTTGTTTTGGTTAATTTTCACTCTTCTTCTGATGAATTTCCTATAAACTTGACACTTAAAAAAGAAACATAGACAGCTGATCAGCTTATCACAGATTTTTATTGTTGTAAGCATCATTTGTACAAATTTTAGTAATATTGGCCAAGATTTGACAAAATTATTAAAGTTTAACTATTATAAGTAATTGAATTTACCACTCTTTTCAATGTAATTTTCAGTTTTCCCTAATATATTGTCCCCAAAAACAATTTTCATTAAACATAGTCAACTGATCAGCTTATCACAGATTTTTATAATTGTTAAGCATCATTGTTACAAATATCAGAAATATTCTACTAGATTTGACAAAATTATTAATGTTTAACTATTTTTAGGGCTGTGATTTGCCAGTCTTTTCAATGTAATTTTCAGTTTTCCAAAATATATTGTTCCAAAAAACACTTTTCATTAGATACAGACAACTGATCAACTTATCACAGATTTTAATTGTTGTTGAGCATCATTTGTACAAATTTCAGAAATATTGGACAAGATTTGACAAAATTATTAACGTTTAACTATTTTAAGTCACTGAACTTGCCTTTCTTTTCAATGTAATTTTCAGTTCTTTCAGTTATATTGATCTTGTTCCAGAGTACCCTTACAATGAAAAAGCAGGCAGTGAAAGACAGCACCAAGAGCAGCACTATGTCTTATCCATATGTACAATACCTGATATTTGGCAAGATTTAGGGCATTGTCAAATGTTGTGATAACAACAACCCCTTCCAGAAACCCATTGTTACAGTAAGAATTAATCTGCATCTGGCATTGGTAGTAAGGAGAAGTCTTGTATGGGTATATTTTGTTTTCCAGATGACAGTTAAAGGTAATTTGCAACCTCCTACACAAACAACCTCAAATCATCAACAACTTCAATCACATTTGTTGTTTTCTTTCAGAATAAATAATACATTGCAACATGAAAATATTTGTATTGGTGAATTCTCACTCTTGTGATGATCAATTTGCCATAAACTTGACACTTAAAAAAAGACACAGACAACTGATCAGCTTATCCCAGATTTTTATTGTTGTTAAGCATCATTTGTACAAATTTCAGAATTATTGGACAAGATTTGACAAAATTATTAACGTTTAACTATTTTAAGTCCTGAGATTTCCCAGTCTTTTCAATGTAATTTTTCAGTTTTTCTCAAATATATTGTCTTAGAAAACACTTTTCATTAGATACAGACAACTGATCAGCTTATCACAGATTTTTATTGTTGTTAAGCATCATTTGTACAAATATCATAAATATTGGACAAGATTTGACAAAATTATTAACATTTAACTATTTTAAGTCACTGAACTTCCATTCTTTTCAATGTAATTTTCAGTTCTTTCAGTTATATTGTTCTTGTTCCAGAGTACCCTTACAATGAAGAAGCAGACAGTGAAAGACAGCACCAAGAGCAATACTATGTCTTATCCTTGTGTACAAAACATGATATTTGGCAAGATTTAGGACATTGTCAACTATTGTGATAACAACAACCCCTTCCAGAAACCCATTGTAAGGAGTAATCTGCATCTGGCATCGGTAGTAAGGAGAAGTCTTGTATGGGTATATATTGTTTTCCAGATGACAGTTAAAGGTAATTTGCAACCTCTTACACAAACAACCTCAAATCATCACATTTGCTGTTTTCTTTCAGAGTAAATAATACATTTGCAATATTGAAATATTTGTTTTGATTAATTCTCACTCTACTGATGATAAATTTCCTATAAACATGACACTCAAAGGAAGACAGACAACTGATCAGCTTATCCCCATATTTTTATTGTTGTTAAGCATCATTTGCACAGATTTCAGAAACATTGGACAAAATTTTTTAAAATTATTAACGTTTAATTAAGTCATAGAATTTTGCAGTGTTAATTTTCAGTGTAATTTTTAGTTTTCCCAAATATATCGTCCCACAAAACACTTTTCATTAGACACAGTCAACTGATAATCTTATCACTGATTTTCATTGTTTTTAAGCATCATTTGTACAAATTTCAGAACTATTGGACTAGATTTGACAAAATGATTAACGTTTAACTATTTTAAGTCCTGTGATTTGCCAGTCTTTTCAATGTTATTTTCAGTTTTCCCAAATATATTGTCCTAAAAACACTTTTCATTAGATACAGACAACTGATCAGCTTATTACAGATTTTTATTGTTGTTAAGCATCATTTGTACAAATATCAGAAATATTGGACAAGTTTTCACAAAATTATTAACGTTTAACTATTTTAAGTCACTGAACTTGCCATTCTTTTCAATGTAATTTTCACTCCTCTGATGATCATTTTCTCATAAACTTCCCAGTTAAAAGAAGTCCCAGACAACTGATCAGCTTATCACAGATTTTTATTGTTGTTAAGCATCATTTGTACAAATTTCTGAAAAATTGAACAATTTTTTTTAAAATTATAAACGTTTAACTATTTTAAGTCATGGAATTTTGCATTGTTAATTTTCAGTATAATATTCAGTTCTCTCAAATATGTCATCCGAAGACAAGACTTTTTATTAGTCACAGTCAAATGATCAGCTTATCACAGATTTTTATTGTTGTTATGCATCATTTGTAGAAGTTTCAGAAATATTGGACAAGATTTCACAAAATTATTAATTTAGCTATTTTAAGGCCTGGGATATGCCAGTCTTTTCAATGTAATTTTCAGTTTTCCCAAATACATTGTCCAAAAAAAAAAAATTCTTTTCATCAGACACAGTCAACTGATCAGCTTGCCATAGATTTTTATCTTTGTTAAGCATCATTTGTACAAATTTCATAAATATTGGACAAGATTTGACAAAATTTTATATTATATTTGTATTTTGGTTCCTTTGCAAAGTCGTCTTCAGAAAATTCATACATATTTTCAAGTACATATATCATTTAAAGCTCTTTTACTGTTTAAAATTCTCCCTTTGAATGACTTTGTATTTTAGGCTGGTTTCTTATTATCATCAGAAATATTTACAAAAAATAATTTTAGATCAACTTTTTGGATCGAAAAGTACCATAGATCACAGCGATGAAGATAATGTCCCAAGAGAGGATTGAAGATTAATCCAGCAAACTTTGTAAGTTTATTTTTTGGACTTCATTTGAAAAAAAATACATCTGTCTTTTTTTAGATACCACTTTATTGTCCAATTAAATATAATTTTCAATGGAAATCAGTCCAGAACAACAAATAAATATAGTTAAAACTAAGGGTGCATTCCCATAGATTTTAGATCGATCTATCCCCACAGGGAGTCTCACTAGATTACTGTCAGATAATCCGGCTTAAATGTCAGTCCCGCCTACTACAAGCTGTAAGGGGGTAATTAACTTTCGTGCCCGCTCAGCTGACAGCTATTCAGCGTGAACCCCCAGGGAGTTAGGTCAGTCTAGTTGGATCGATCTAATCTCTGGGAATGGGGTCTAAGTTTTGTCTTCCTTTAAATTCCTGTATACTGCTCTTGTAAAATTAACAATAAAATTTTGAAATGCAGCCGTGGTGAGATTTAACACAAATGATTTTGTAAGATATTTAAGATATATCCTGTCATCTTATCTATGTTATACTGTCCACACTACTGTACATCCCTCTCCTGTCCACTGTCACATCTAGTCTATATCCTGTCATCTTATCTATGTTATACTGTCCACACTACTGTACATCCCTCTCCTGTCCACTGTCACATCCAGTCTACATCCTGTCATCTTATCTATGTAGATCCATCTTCAGGGATGTGCATGAGCACTTTGGAATTTTAGTGCCACAGGGGTTTGTCTGCCTCCTTGTATTGTTGCCCGCAAAATGCACACACAGACTGTCCCAGGATTGCTGTAGCATCTGTGAGAGATATGTGCCTTGTTCTTACAAGTCTTCTGGGGCTTGTTGATCCAGGGAAACTGACATTTACAGTTGGGGGGGGTGGTGTAACTCAAAAAGCGAGGTGCACTGGCACTTTTGTGGAATCTGATAGGTGTGGATGAACTGGCAGAGAGCTCTGGAAGGGTTTTCCCAGGGGGGTTGCCCCTTTGGCTGCTAGCACTGCCTACTCTTCCAGCATGGTTCAATTCTTGTTCCTTGAGTTGACTGCACAGTTTATTGATATGGTATTTCAATGTCTCTTTTTCATCTTTAGCGTGTTTTAGATCTACTTGTACGGATTTTTTTTCCTTTTTCAGGGTTGTCAGTTTTCCCTCCAAACTCATAATCCCCTCCTGGAGTTTTTGTTTCTCTGCACTGTTTTCTTCCATCATTCTCTGAATGCTGCAGTGCATGCTGTACTGTTCATCCAATGGGAAGCCCAAGATTTGCTGGCACATTTCTTCTTCTTCTCTGAGGTTGTCCACCATCTGGTAGGCACTGGTCAGTTGTGTGTTCAGCGTTTCTATTCTCTTGCTGAGAAAATCGATGTTTAACTGAAGGAGATGGATATTTTTGTCTTCTTTTGACATGTTGTCATTCATTTTCAAAAGGTCAAGGTCAGCACTAGCCTTTCCATGTATGTTTTCTAATTGTTCATTAATTTCTACAATCTTTGAGTCGCGAGTGTGGATTTGGCTCTTAAGATTTTCTTGCATTTCTTCAAATTGATCCTGTTTCTTTTGTAGTTCTTCTTCCAGAAGCTTTATTTGGTTTTTCTGTTCCTTTTTGGTGCTGCTTAAGTCAGTTTCTTCATCACTTTCAGGTCTTTTCACTGTGGAAGCCACTTCCAGTCTCTCAGTTAGTTCTCCAATTGCTTTTTGCTTGGCTGTGATCTGCCGCTCTAATTGACATATCTTAACTTGGCTTTTCTTGTTGATATCTAAACTAGTGTTAAGTTTCTCGTTGAGTTCTTGCACATTTTTCTTGAGTGTCTTGTTTTCTACATTCAGCCAGACGCACTGATCTTCTTGAGACTCCTTGGAGTTTCTTTCCTCTTGAAACTCCTCCTTTAGCACTAGATTGTTGCTGAGGACTTTCCTTTCCTCCTGACTGAGCAGTTTGTGTAACCTTTGAAGATGTTTGGTGATGAACTCATCCACTTTTCTATGACTGTGTTTTTCCACACCTGAAAGATACAAGCGTTAGAGTTTTTAGATATTCAAATCAGAAACAAAACTCACAGTTTTACTTATTATATAGTTATTATCCCCGGACTTTTGGGACAAAAGTCGAGCATCATGTTATCCCGCCTGACTGTGCGTCAGTGCGTCTGTGTGTTAGTAATTTCCACTATCTCCTCCTGGACTATTGTATATAGGAAGTTCAAACTTTGGGAATTGGTAGACCCTTCATCAGGAATGTGCATGGGCACTTTGGAATTTTAGTGCAACAGGGGATTGGGCTGTCCCTGGGGGTAGTTGATTCAAAATTCTTATGACATATTGTAATTTCTGCTATCTCCTCCTAGACCGGTAGGGATAGTAAATTGAAACTATGGGAATTGGAAGATCCATCATCAGAGATGTGCATACACACTTTGGAATTTTAGTGCAACAGGGGGTTGGGCTGTCCCGGGGGTTGGTTAATTCTGACATATTTTCACATTGTAGTTTCTGCTATTTTCTCCTAGACCATTGCAGGTCGGAAGTTGAAACTTTGGTGATTAGTTTACCCATCATCAGAGATGTGCATGGGCACTTTTGAATTTTAGTGCAACAGGCGGTTGGGCTGTCCTTGGGGGTTGGGTGACTCTAAATTCTTTTCACATTGTAGTTTCAGCCATCTCCTAGACCATTGCAGATAGGAAGCTGAAACTTTGGTGATTAGTTTACCCATCATCAGGGATGTGCATGGGGGCACTTTGGAATTTTAGAGTGGCTGGAGATTGAAGTGTCCCTGGGCTTTAATTTATTAAAGTCTATTCCCAGAGTATTAGAGTGAGATTGGTGATTCTATTTTTTCTGTTATATGCTATGATTTGCTTTGACCTACCGTACTAGTTAGGGGTATTTTGTCAGTATCTGACATATATATATATATATATATGGTTAACACAAAAATCAAACTGACTACAGTACCACTGGTTTCTTGGTGTATTTTTATAATTGACAACTCCAAACTAAGTAGACAAGACCTATACCAATTTCAGAAATAAACACATCCTCATCAGTATTAATAAATTAAGTTTATAGTTTTTATTACTACTTTGGAGCTGTTGACGTGTTGTACAGAATAGGAACATAAAGGGAAATGGCATGGCATAACTTAGAAACAGAAATCAAGATATTTGAGAAGTTCGTGAACTATAGCAAGACTGAATGTTGAAGCAATTGATGGATACACTGTACTGGTTTGCTCTGTTTACTGTTAGTGTACTAGTACTGTAGATCATGCCTAATCCAGTTGAAAATAAAACTTGACTTTACATTAAGGAACAACATAAATAATTTAAAATCTCTGTGTGTTGACCTGTATCTGTGGCTGAATGATTCTGTTGTTTCATATAAGTGAAGGACATTTAAAAACTTGCTTATATTTCAATCCACAAAATAAAAAAACAATTCCTGAAACCTCTAAATTATTATTATATAATCAATAGCTTTATGGAGCAGATAAAAAACATCACTAACATTAGCAGTATCAATATAGCTTATGCATATTTCATTATCTAATCATTTTTCATTTATCATTTATCTAAAACATTATTCATGTTTTATTTATCCAAATGTGTGGATAGATAACTTTTCTGTTCTCTTTTCTGTTTTTTAGTGTACCTAGGTATGTACCAGTGTACCAGGCCCGTAGCCAGCAAATTTCAGAAAAAAAGTGGACCTTTAACAATGAAACTTATGTGTACCTAAATCAAATTTACCCAAAATGGACCTTTCCCTGACAAAAGGGGCGGTTCTTTCGAACCCCCCAGGCTACGGGCCTGTGTACATACATGTATTTTTATATTTATAAAGATTTTTTTACATTAACACTTTTTAATACCTTTGGATGAAGCAGTGATGTGTGTGTGTACGTGCGTGTGTACGTGCGTGTGTGGTAAGTGGTCCCTAGGGGTGAGCTGCGCTTGATAATATGGGGAAGTGCGGGAATATGCGATGGCTACCCATCGACACCATCTAGTTATCACTTAATTCTCTATTGTTACAAGAAATGAGATATTACTGAGTTATTTATTTTCATTATCATTCCAACTACCGGTAATACTCCCCAATGTTGTGTATTTAGCTCAAAAGCAAACAAATTGTGAGAACCATTTGCTGTAGGCATCCCTTAGCAAAATTTTAAGCTTCCCACACACTGTTTCTGCGGATGCGCAGCAGATTCACACTAAGGGTTTCTGCGGATGCGCAGCACGCCTCATTTGCATGGTAAAATACGCACCTCCTGCACACTCCTTGCACATCTGCAAACTTCCTGCACACCCCCAACACCACAACCAGCACACTTCTTGCATACCTCCTGCGTACTTCTTGCATACCTTCTGCGTACTTTTTGCACACTTCCTGCGCACATCTTGCACACCTCCTGTGTACGTCTTGCACACCTTCTGCGTACTTTTTGCACACCTTTTGTGCACTTCTTGCACACCTCCTGCGCACTTTTTGCATACTTTCTTGCACACTAATTTAAATATTTTATAACACAATTTAAATTTTATTCACTCGTTTTTTCAATCAGTTAATATTAATTCTACAAAGACAGGTTCTGAGTTACATCTAAAGACGTGCCAACAGAAATATTGTAAAATCTGTTTATCAACAACAAACAAGAAATTACAGTCATATATTGTGCTTTATTAATCAAATTAAAAAATCGAACAAAATCAGCAAAATCCAAGCCATGTCCATATTTCTCTTCTTTACATCTTTCTGCCACATTTCTTTTCTTTACTCATCCTGTCCTGCTCTGTCCATCTAAAAAAAGAGTATACCATAAAGTCCTACAAATTTACCACACTGTGCACAATGCTTAACATCCAAATTTTAAATATCCATGTGGAGGACAAAAAAACTATCAATATACACATTACTGTTTGAGAAGTCCTAAAATCAAGTTCAAGTGTTTATTATTCATATAAAAAAAAGGTTGAAAGGTAGGCAGAAAAATGTCTTGGATATTTAAAAAAAAAAAAAAAAACAGTGCTAAAACTGCTTTGAAGAATACTTTATATCCATTCCTCACACATCTATGTTATGTTGAAATCTTAGAGTTTATGGTTGTATTCACTTTTTCACTTATTTTCAACATATACTTGTGGAATGATGTAATCAGCTTGCAGTTAGTGTTGTTCTCTTTTAAAACTTACTCTGCACAGCTCTTTCAACTAGAGAATCCTTCACAAAAGAAGCTGTTGCTGACAGTTCTTGTGGGCTGAAAAACTCTCTAGTAACTTCTTTATCACAAAAGTACTTGACTTTTTGGTACACTTTGTGAGAGTTTTGATGAGCCACCAACTATAGATATTCACAGCAAAGTGTCCCTTCCAGTCATGCCAGCTTCTGTATGTTGTCTACTCTCTACGGTCACCTGAAATAAACAATTATTCAACAAATGTCCATTTGTTCAAGTAACACAGTAAGAGACAAATTTTTTGAGATTCAACTGCATTTGAAGAAACATTTTGGTGAGCAATTGATCATAGTTTTATAAGAGATGAAGAGACTAAACAGTGATTGCATTTTATATCCTCGTTTCTTTGTTGGCTAAAAGGGAAGTATACATTATAAATTAAAACTTATTTAATGTAATATAGATGTAATGTTTACAATGTACACTACAAATTAGATCAATTTTCTCATTTTCAATTTGATTAGATGCCCAAATGATCCAATGCATTACTGTAATACATACCTTCCTCAATCCAATTTTTCTACACTCTGTACTCTTCCACTATGCTCCTGAATTAAAACTGGCTTGAATGTAAACAGCCTTCACTCATAAACAAAGACTTAGACAGGATACCACACATCTGATAACACCAAATAGGTGGTTGTTGTAACAATAGCTGCAGGAATAGAGACCTAATAATAGGTGCCAGGCTAACAAAAGAAATTCACAGTTGTTGAATCTGTGGTTGGTGGAGTAAGGCATTCTCTAACATCAGTTGACTGTTAAACCTTGGGCTTAAAGTGTGATTGAGCATGATTTATAATAAAATGGATCTTTAAAAATATTAATTTGTCATCGTTTCCCACCCTTTATGAGGGACAGTTCTATACCCTTTATGTTCGCTTTCTTTTACATCACATTATATATATTAGGCTGGATTGAAATTTCACTTTTTAAAACAGCCAAGGTCAAGTAAAATCTGACTATAAGCAAGATTAAAATCTGACTAGATAAGGTTGACTTTCAATATAATAGAAGAAATATGAAGTTAGTAAATATCATCATAAAAATACTAAAAATACATTTACTGTGTTTTTATCTTTTTGTGAAAATTAACTAGCAAAGTCAAGATTATACTAGCCATGTTTAATTTACCACAACCCTAGATTTCATAACTGTTACATTTCATGACTGATACATCCTAATAATAAGTTGTGATTTAGTGAATGAGTTTAAAGGGTTGATTAGGCATTTTTCTATTAGATGTTGTTAAACTTATATTGCCCTTGACTTATTCTCATACTTTGAGTGAGGTAAACACCATA